CAAGGGGGAGCTTGTCCAAAGAGTCTCCCTAAGGGTGACGTGATAACATGACAGCTACTGGGAGCATCTAATACAGTGCTGGGGGTGAGGAGGGGAGGGGGGATCTTACAACCCCTCAGCAGTTTTGCCTCACAGGTTAATACCCAAATGTGAGAACCATAAGAAATCCCAGGCAGTCTTTCATTCAACAAGCAGTTAGTGTCTTCTGTAAGGGATGCCATGGAAACAAAACTGAACAACACACATTTCTTGTCTGGAGGGAAAGAGATGTGAGTCAACCAAATATTATAAAACTATGACTAGACTAAAGGTGCTCACAACCTAAGCGGCCTCAGGGAATCCCAGAGAAGAGCAATGGGAATAAGAGGGACACTGAATGGATATTTGTGCGGCCACCTACCAATTCCGTGAACTCAATGATTATCCCCAACACTTGACTGTCCTCCCTGTATCTCTACACCAAAATAACTAACCCACGAACTAACTTCCCTGTTACTAACACATGGCTTCCTTATCTTCCTTTAGTCATCCAACAAATAATCTCTGAGCACCTACTACGTGCCTTCTGCTCCAAGGCTGGTGACCGATTTACCCTGAGCCTCATATTCATGAAGGGTTTTATAATATAGATTTTAAAAAATATCCTCTCCAAATGATAACATACATACAGTCACAGAGATACACTTACAGGATTAAAATTCAAAGGACATTACAATTTTTATAATCCTGTTTGAACAATTAAAAATATACACACAAGTCCCCCGACTCCCAGGCTGCACATCACTCATGGAACTGATCCAGGTCTGTCTTGATCTCTTTGGGGTCTGCTGGGCACTCAACAGGGAGCAGAAAACAGGCCAGCTGTTGCTCTTGCACTCACAAAACTTTGTGTTTGGTGTGGAAACAGATGTCAAATGAGGAAGTGTACCACACGGACGCCTGTACCCACTGCGGGAGGACGGGCATGACGCGAGGCTGAGCTGGCCAAGCGTTCACTTTATCTGAAGTGTTTGAATTTTTACAATATGGCCACATCCATGTGTTACCTGTGTAGTCATTATACATTTCTACACCAGGGTACATCACCAAGAGAAGAGCCAAGAAGGGGGCCAGGGAGAGGCTGAGCCTGATGTGGGAGGCAGGAGAGAAACGAAAAGTTCATGGAGCATCAGGGTTGGTTGGGAGCTAACAGCTGCACCCACTTTGCAGTGATTGCTGTCTCCGCATGAGTGACATGCATGATCGATGTACTCCTCTCGATGCTGGTTTGAAACCTGCCTTTACTTGGAGAGCAATGAGTCTTACCAGAAGATGATGCCAAATGCCCCTAAGCTGAATCACAGCTACCGCGTCTAGACTGAAATGTCTCATCACTATTTTGTCAAATTGTGTCTTGCCCATTATTGTTAACCATGTGATCCACGTGGACTTCCCACGGTTTCTTCGACAACAGCAGCCCTGCTAACCAGCTTCCCCTCTGAGGTAAGCTTGACCGCACATAAATAATCTCAAGAACAAACATCATGGAAACATTAGCCATGTCCTCACATTGGCCACCTGTGACAGACTGGGCAGTTGTGACAAACTTTGGGACAAAAATGTTTCCTTATACTGTCATTCCTTTCACTTTTCCGATTATATTTTGAGCTATATTCAGATGGTCTGGCTTTCAGGAACAGAGGTATGACTGATGACTGATCACCCAATAATGCTTCTGATCAGTACCATTATGTGTGTGTGTGTGAGTGTGTGTGATGTGTGAGTGTGTGTGAGTGTGTGTGTGTGTGAGTGTGTGTGTACAATTTCGTTTCAGTATGGCAGCTTCCCTCTTTGGAGTGCGCATGGTTGTTAGCGATATGTCCACAAGTAACGCCAGTGCAGAGAAAAGCAACTGAATGCACCTCTGCACGAGGTAGGTGGCTCAGAGGAAAAGCTTCCTGCAGAGGACTTCATATCTGAGTTCTGCTCTAGAGGTCAATGGGAGCTTGCTGATGGACAAGGCTGCCAGATAAAATAGGGAAAACCCTGTTAAATGTGAATTTCAAATAAACAATAAATAATTTCACAGGTACATCCCAAATATTGCACAGGTGTTCCATGATTTTATTTGCCCAATCAGGCAATCCTAACAGTGGAAGAGGGGAAGAGATGCATGTCAATCACCTTTTCCTCTTTCTCATGAATGTTGTTAACATCAGCATCAATGAACACTTACAAGGCATGGGGAGTGAGGTCCATGCTCCAGGAAGGGCCTAGCAATTACTCCTGCTACCTGAAATGCTCACAATGTGCCTGCTTTCTCCATCACGGACCCCTTGAGCTCCTGGATTAAACCTTATTCTTATTCCTTCTTCTTCAAGATGTCACCCAGTGAATGGCATATGCTAGGTGCTAAAAATCCAGTTTTGAGTAAATGAGGATATGATGTGGAATGATTATAAAAGCAGGAAATCTGGGGTGAAGGAAATAAAATAACAAAACTATACGTGGCAGAAAATACAGGGAATTTAAAGATGGTCAACAACAGCCATTAGTTAGACGTTGTTACCTGAGGTATATAAGAAGGTATGGCCCTCAAAGGTGCTTTGCACATTACAGAGGCTGCGTGTGTGATTATAAATATATGTGTATATATAAATAAACACATTATGCTTTTAAATGAAAAGTTGCAAGAACAGTAAATTGAACACCCATGTATTCTATATTCAACTACACTGGAACTGAGTCTGAGAGAACATCCACATTTCCTTCTCTAGAATGGAAACGTTTAACTAACGTAGTACTGGTCCCACTGAAGATGTATAATATTTTTTCTTTTTTTAATGTATCTTATTTTAAAAGTAGTATGCCTTGCCCAGCCAGTGTGGCTCAGTGGTTGAGCATCGACCCATGCACCAAGAGGATGCCGGTTCGATTCCCGGTCAGGGCACATGCCCAGGTTGTGGGCCAAATCCTCTGTGGGAGGCAGGCAGGAGGCAGCCAATAGATGTTCTCTCTTAATGATGTTTCTCTCTCCCTCTCCTTCTCACTCCCTTTCTCTCTAAAATCAATAAAGAAAAAAAAATTTAAAAATAAATAAAAATAAATAAAAGTAGTTTGCCTTATTAAATAAGAAATGCTTGCTGACTACAAAAAACTTTAAAAACATAGGTAAATAAAAAAAATAAAAATCAGTCAGAAATAATGACTCCATGTTTATAGCATATACAGTTCTAGATATTTCTGCACATATAACCATATTTGTTAAATATATAACATATGTAAATATATAACAAATATGGTATCCGACTCTATACACTACGATATACTCTTGTTCTTAAGCTACAAAGTGAACCTATTCAAGTGACCAAATATAGTCCTGTAACAACATTTTTAATGCTTGTGCAGAAATTCTAACTGATGAAGTACCTATTGCTAAAAATGTCAATTGTTTTCCATTTTTTGCTGTGAAAGACTTCCTGACAGCTAAGTCGTTCAAGACATTCATCATTATCTCTTGAGCATAAATTCTTAGAGAGAGAAATGCTGAGGCAAAGATTATGTACATTTTTAAGGCTTTTGCTACATATCACCAGTTTGTTCTCTACAAAGGTTGTGTCAACTTACATAAAAGATCCCTTTTCTCCACTTATTTTTCCAAGGTAGTCACCCCACAAAATCTGTGAAGTCAGAATTTATAGAGAGAAAGCATTTAGAGTAATACATGTAGTAATTTTTCTTTTCATTGGAAACTAGTCAAAAATTAGGATTTCAAGAAATCTCACTTGTCCACAGTTAGCCTTTGGTACAACCAACTGCTTTAAACAATAAAATTTAAGCCAATTTTCCAATCAAAGTCTGTCATATTTGTGGAAACATGGTCGCTTACCATCTTAAAATGACTTTATTAACAATTAATGTATTTCTCTTAGTAAGATGATAATTAAGTTAGCCTTGTTTAAAACATCCCACTTCATGTTCCTGGAGAAAGGATCCACTTGCCGTGACCATAACAGAAGAAGGTTATTTGAGCAAACAAAGAATAACCCCAATCGTGGCTAGTCACCATTCCCACAGACACACTGGTTTAGGTGTAATGCCGCTTGGCGAAAATGGTTCATCACCTGCTCACACACCTCCTCGGTGAAAAATAAATGGGAACAAACAAAAACCTTTACAGTGTCAAGAACTTCCAAAGAAGAAGGAAAGATCGTCAGGCAAAAGCTTTAAAATACTGTATCTAAATTTAAAATACCATGTCTAAAAGTAAAGAAAATGCATGATACTGTAAGAGAGAAGTCAATGAAGCAGAAAAATATTCCTTAATATACAACCCCGTAGAGGACTCTATGAAAGATGTCAAAAGCCTGTGAAATGCTAGGTGGGGACAGACAGACATGCTGGCTCAGTTTGTAAAAAGTAAAGTAAAGGATAATTGGCAAATGTCAACATTTTTATGGGCAACAGAAAACCAAGCTGGCTTAGGCTTTTGATAAGTGCCATGATCAACTGACCAACTCTGTTTTTTATCTTTTCTGAGACCCCGAAAAATCAAATAAAAAGAGAAAATGTCCAAATATAAAAGCTTAATTTAACAAGATATGCCTCACAATCAAATAATCACAGTCATTTGGCCAATGTCTATGATTAACTCAGTTCTTGGAGGATCGCTTTTCATTAAGTAATCATACTGGATGAGTGAGTGCGTAGAGTCACCCAGCCTTCAGTTATTTCTGAAAGACTCTGCATCAGTCTCGTTATGATGATTCTATAATATCGGGATGGATCATCCAGGTATCTGAGAATTTCCAAAGTCACCCAAAGTGAAAAAAAAAAAAAGGGAAAAGCCTCAGAGGTTAAGGGAAGGGGCTGAAACCCTGAGAATCAGATAATGACAAATGAGAAAACTCCTCCCCACTGAAAATATTCAGGCGTATAAAAGGCACACACAAAGTCGTACATAAGACCTAGAACATAGGCGTTAACCTTGATTCTTGTGAATCTTTTGACTCGAAAGAAAAATGAAGACCAAGCCCGAGGTGATTCAAAAGTGTCTGTGGCCTGCGTGCCTAGTGGGTCTGTTCATCACTGGCACCCTCTCTCTGGACTGTAACCTGCTGCATGTTTACCTGCACAGAGTCACCTGGCAAAATCTGAGACTTCTGAGCCGTATGAGCAAGTCATTTCCTGTGGAGTGCCTAAGAGAGAACAAAGCTTTTGAGTTGCCCCAAGAGGTCCTATCATATACCCAGCCTCTGAAAAGAGACATCAAGGAGGTCTTCTATGAAGTGTTCATGCTGGCCTTCAACATCTTCACTCAGCCCACCTTCCAGTCCACTTGGGAAGAGAAATACCTGGAACAAATCCAAACTGGACTTGATCAGCAGTTGCAGTACCTGGAACAATGCTTGAAAGAAGAGGGGAAGGGAAATGAAGGCAATGAAGAGACAGACGAGGACGAGACACAGCTCCCTGGAGCTAAAGTCCCCCCACTGAGCAACTTAGAACTAAGGAGATATTTCCACAGGATAAGCAGTTTCCTGAAAGACAAGAAATACAGTCACTGTGCCTGGAAGATTGTCCGAGTGGAAATCAGAAGATGTTTCTACTACTTTCAGAAACTCATAGCACTACTCAGGAGAAAATAAGGTAGATTTTTTTTTAAAACTAAAATTCCATTTCTCTCCAAAATCTCCTTCCCTTTATTTTCTTTTTTAGAATTACTGTGCTGTCCTTTAAGCCTGCTTTCGGCTAGATTGGTGGTGGTGTATGTAACATTCACTGTCTCCAAAGTTTGGCCTTCCAACGTCAGCGGCATTTACCTCTTTAAGAAAGGTGATGCCGTCCATCCCCTGGGTGACCAAGAGTCTTCTTACAAAGCCCTAAAGACAGTGGAAAGGATTGAGATTCCCTCTCCATCTTCTACTCTTCTGTTTTTCTTTCCTTTTTCTATTTTATACTTGCTTTGAACTTCACCTTTAAACTTCACCAAGCCAATAGCTACTAGAGAATATAGATCAGAGAATGTTTCAAAATGTAACACCTCAATGACTTAACCGTCTTGCTGACAAGGTTGTTTAGTCTAAAGTTCAGCTTGTTTAAAGAGCTTATACAAAGTTCCATAGCCCTGGCCAGTTTGGCTCAGCGGTTAGAGCATCGGCCTGTGGTCCAAAGAGGCCCGGGATCAGTTCCCGCTAAGGGCACGTAACTCAGTTGCAGTTTGTCCCCAGCCCTGGTTGGGTCGTGCGAGTGGCAGCCACTTGATGTGTCCCTTTCACATCGATGTTTCTCTCTCTCTTCCTTTCTTTCTCTCCCACTCTATCTGAACAAAAAAATGAAAAATTGTCCTCAGGTGAGGACAAAGTTCCATAGAGTTAAAACCCTCCCTTTCTCTCCACTCACTCAAAAAAGAAGTTGAAATTTCTGTCCCATTTGTTTCTCATATTGGTTTGTTTTATATGATAAAAAATTTGTGAGATGATATTTTATTTTATTTTGATGGTATGTGCCCCTAGCAGGAACCGAACCCGGGAATGTCTGGTCCGCAGACCAATGCTCAACCACTGAGCCAAACTGGCCAGGGCTGATATTTTATTATTTTATGAGAGTGAAGATCCACTTTCTGGTATTGGATTTTTGACTTAAATGACCATTAAGCTCTTGCTCAACCTTTAAGAGCCTATGATTCTCATGCAGAGAGTGCTGTTCATTCCTAATTCATATGACTTGATTTCTACATTTAAAGGTATGGAAAATGATGCAGAAAAGTGTAGATTCTGCTTTCACTGTCCTGTGTGTCTGAAACGAAATGTCTACCATCATACTATGGAAGAATTTCACATTGAATGTTCCCAATTAGAAGATCACTTTCAGCTTATTAAGTAAATTAGTTATTCTAATAACATATGATGCTTTAATATATTTTATGTTTTAAAAAGTTATTTTGTACCCAGATTACCTAGATTACTTACTAAAATGTTTCCATGTGGCCTCTCCTCTATATTAATCCATCATCTAGCTGAAATGAACTTTCTCTTCCTCCTTCTCCTTCAACCCATTTCAGAATCATCTGCCCTCCTTCAAGCAGGACCTAACACTGAGACTGTGACTAGACAAATTCACAACAGAGGGTGAAATGTACATGGTCAGCCCCTTGGAGACATCTCCTGCTGGTTGTTTTAACAGTGTGCTGCTGAAGTGCTTAGATTGAAGATTCATCCAAGTACAGGACTCAAACAGTTCAGCCATACAGAGAAAGTCTTATGTTAAAACTGAGGCAAATTTCTTCAGTTAAAAGAACAAGTTGTGGATCATGATACGCTAGTTATCAGAGGAAGGATCAGACCGCAAAATGAGTTAGTATCATCCATGCAGTAAAAACAACTCATCAACAGAGTTGTTCTACATGGAAAACAAACAAACAACAGCATTACAAGCTGTAAAGGAGTTGGGGCATGCAAGCTACTAAGCAGAAAGTATACACTTAGTATTTTTCATGAATTTCTATAATAATGCCTTTGTGTGGCCTCTCTAATAACTCTACTGGGATCATGTCAGTTACATTAGCAATTTATGTTTGGAGTCTTTCCAAATGTTTGCTTCCCAAGAAGGAAGAGAATTGGCACTTCAAGTCAATCAAGATCATCTGATCGTAAAGGCAGGGGCAGAAGTCAGAACAGAATGCTTTTACTAAGAGCACCTCTAGGCGGAAAAAGGAGAACATGGCCACTGAAAAAATACATAAGGACACACACTAGCATCTTCCCCAAGGAAGAAATGCTAACGGACAAAGTGTGTTTCATCTCAGTTATGATTGAAGAAATGCAAAAGGAGACAGTAAGATACTCCCCTCCCATTTGTCCGGCAGAGATGAAAAAGAATGATACTAGAGAGTGTAGTGGGGTACAGGATATGAGAAAAAATCCTGTCTACTGTTGGGGAGAAGGTAAACTGGCACACGCTTCCTCCACGACCATAAGGCTCTAGAACATCCTAAAAAGGCAGTAATTCCTTTGACCTAGCTGTCCTATCTCCAGAAATTTATTCCAAGGAAATAACTGAATAAGACTGTTCAGTGGAGCCTTGTTTATAATATTGCTCCTCCCTTGATTTTCATTGTCACCTCTCTGTATTTTCTGCAATAATTGGGGGGGGGGGGTGTATTAATTCTAAAATTAAAAACTGTAGAAACTTATCTACAATTACCTTATCTATAATTACCACTACAGTTACCCTGTTTTCCTTACTGGGGAAGTGGAGACCAGCAGTGCCCTTTCATGTCCTGAAGGATGACTTTGGGCACTTCTTGAGCTACCAAGGTCCTTCTTGCCACTTCTCCCCAGCCGCTGCCGCTAAATTTCAAAGGAATCCTTCCTTGGGGATCATTTTCATAATGAAGTGTTTGTAAAGTGTCTTCAGGTGCTTCGAAGGTTTTACTTTTTTCTTTTGTTGGTCCCACGGGTAATATCCAGAAAGTGCTGAAGAAAGTGCTCTATGTGCCAACCTTTCGGATTTGCAGGCTCCTCTGTTCTTCTTTATTAAGTGTAAGCTCCCAAGTTCTGTTAGGTTAGGTAAAGGGAAAACTAGAACTGCAGAGCCAAGTGCACTTACAATGCCTGAGTGGGTACACAGGTGGCAAGCCTTCAGACAACTTCCTCCTTCCCCTGGCATGGGGCAGGATTAAAAGGTGGGGGATAACAGAGTGTAACCGAGTCTCCTTGGAAGAGGGGCTGACTGGGTGTCCTACAGAAAAAGCTTGCAACACCAGTCTATGTGGGGCTATCAGTAGGTATAGCAACAGGTGTACAGACTCCGTCTTCCCTCTCAGGCAAAGCCACTTTCTGGGCACCATCTGAGGAGGACCCTGCCTTCTCAAAGTGGCTGTTTTGCTTTTGCCCTCATTCCTTAATAAATACTCCACACTCACTAAGAACAAGCACTACATGCCTGTAAGCATCTGGCTTGTGAAGGAAGTCAGGGCAACAGGGCCACCTATAATCTAACAGGCACACATCCACAGGGAAACTGGGCCACTCCCAAGCCACCGGTTCGCAGGGACTTGGAAGCTTGAACACTGCCTTGGCGGAGTCTGCGCTATGTCCAGGTCGTCCTTTTCTGACTGCGGAGAGGGGACCTGGGGTTTAAACTCCGAACCCTTCGCGAAGTCAGAATTCCACGTTCACTCTGTAGGGGGCCACCTCACCATAACTTCTGGCAAAGGTTTGAGCCTCCCTAGGTTATTTCCCTTATCATTCTCTTTAAGACGGCTCACTTGCTCCCCAGTCCTCGGAAACTCGCAGATTGAAGAACCTCGGCTTTCTGCTTACCAGAGGGGCCCTGATGCCCTCAGGCTGCCCCGGCAGCGGCCCAGCCACACGCCTGTAGGCGGAGATTGCAATCCGCTGGAACCCACCAAGGGACACCCTGGATTGCAGCGGAACCTCGCTTTCGCTCTCTCGAAAGCGCACCCCTGTAGGATCTGCGCCCTTTGCGGCGCGTGTGGGATAAGATCTGAAAAATGCGCCCCGGGCCACAGGCAGCCGAGGAGGCGGGGAAGGAACAACTTTCCCTCCGCCCTCTAACCGCAAGGCCTGGGTGGGGCTGCCTCGCTGGGGTCGTCCCGGGCGGGCAGGCTGGGTGGCTCGCGTGGGAGGCGGGGGTGGGGGACGCTAGGGGCTTCTTTCTCGCCCCAAGCCCCGCCAGATGTTGGGAAGGAACACAATAGGGGGAACGCGGAGAAACAAAAGGCCATTCGCTACGATCTCAATGGCCTCTGTCGCGTGGTCCCCGAGGAAAGGACGTCTGGGGGGCGGGGGAGGATCAGGAAGATGGGTGAAGGGAGATCTGAGGACTTCGGGGTCTCTGGTACTTACTTGGCAAGCGCCGGGGGTCGGCCCTTTACCCTTCCGGCACCGGGGAGCAATCAAAGGAAAGTTAAAAGGTTTTCACCTTTTTCCTCAGTAGAGGGAAAGGGAAGGGCTGGGATTCCAGATGTTTGACAGTTGTTCGCCCCGGGGTTCAGCAGGATTTGTGTGTCCTTTACACACCCTTTCCCCCCGAGAAGCGTCAACAGTTCAGGGGGCGACCTGGCCGACGAGCGGAGTTCCCCGTCGCAGCCCAAGCCCAGCCTCCTCCTCCACCATCCAGACGCCCCAACCGTCTTCCCCCTGCCCAAGCGCACTTTGTAAAAGTTTGTCTTCCCGCCACCCACAGCCCAACACGCACCCTGCAGTCATCTGCGACTCGGGATGAGTTCCGGGACAGACTTATGTCCCGAAAGAAGATGGATTTTACTGATTTGTCTTTTAAAATCAAGGCCCCGGAGTCCAGGGTGGGGACGAGGAAGGACGCGCGAGGAGCCGGCCAGAAACCAAGCCGTGGGCAGGGGTCCGAAGCGCGTCCCAGCCCCGGAAGCGCGCGAGGGCGGGCGAGGAAGCGGGGTCGCCACCTCCCGCCCCCCAGTTGCACCCGCCCTCAGGTGCGCCCGGCACCTCTGCCCGCCTGGGCGCGACCGGGAGTCAGCAGCTGCCGGGCGGCGCCACCTCCCTCGCCTGGAGCCGGTTCTCACTCACCGTGGGGTTTTACCTTCAGCCCGGGGCCCTGTCGGCTTCCTGCGCGGGGAAAGCTGCAGCCGACGCGAGAGGTAGCG